TCCTCATTTCTCCTCCTCCCCTCCGTCCTCCTCCCATCCCTGCCTCTGCCCCCCGCGCCAATCGACGATTTCGGCACACCCCTCACACGTTTCGTGGCCCTGTAGCTCCCCCGCAGGCCATTGCGGCTACGTTCGCATGCGCCCACCGCACCAATTTCGGCACACCTCTCACACGTTTCGTGGCCTTCCATGGGGCTCCACCGAAGGCCTCAGTTGCTGTGTCCTCGTGCGCCCACTGCGCCCATTTCGGCACACCACTCACATGTTTCGTGGCCCCACAGAGAGCTCCACGAAGGCCCCATGGCTGCGTTCGCATGCGCCCACCGCACCCATGCCCGCACACTCCTCACACTTGTCGTGGCCCCAGGGACCACCGAAAACCCAGTGGTTGCGGTCGCATGCGCCCACCGCGCCCATGTCGGCATACCCCTCACACGTTTCGTGGCCCTATAAGGATTTCCGCCGAAACCGCAGTGGCTGCCCTCCATGGGATTCCACCGAAGGCCCCAGTGGCTACGTTCGCACGCGCCCACCGTATCAATTCCTGCACACCCGTCATGAATTTCGTGGCCCATGGTGAACTCCAACGAGGGCCGCTCCGCAGTGGTTGCGTTCGCATGCGCACCGCCCCGATTTCGGCACACCCCTTCACATAATTCGTGGCCCCATAGGGAACTCCACCGAAGGCTTCAGTGGCTGCGTTCGCATGCGCTCAGAACACCCATGTCGACACCCCTTTACACCTTTCGTGGCCTTACATGGACCTCCGCCGAACACCGCAGTCGCTGCGTTCGCGTGCGCCCGCCGCACCCATGTCGGCACACCCCTCACGCACCCATGTCGGCACACCCATCACGCGCTCCATGGCCCCATAGGGAGCTCCAGAGAAGGCCCCAGTGGCTGCGCTCGCGTGCGTCCACCGCACCTATTTCGGCACACCCTTGACACGTTTCGTGGCCCCATAGGAAACTCCACCGAAGGCCCCAGTGGCAGCGTTCGCATGCGCCCGCCGCATTAGTTTCGGCACACCGCTCACATCTGTCGTGGCCCCACGGACCACTGAAGACCCCAGTGGCTTCGTTCGCAAGCGCCCACCGCATTAATTTCGGCACACCCCTCACACGTTTCGTGGCCCCATGAGGAGCTCCACCGAAAACCCCAGTGGCTGCGTTCGCATGCGCCCATCGCGCCCATTTCGTCACCCCCTTCGCACGTTTCGTTGCCCCATAAGGAGCACCATCGAATGCCCCAGTGGCGGTGTTCGCATGCGTCCGCCCCACCCATTGCCCTCACACGTTTCGTGGATCCATAGGGAGTGCCACGGGAGGCTCCACTGGCGGTGTTCGCATGCGCCCGCCCCGCCCGTCTCGGTACATCCCTCACACGGTTCGCGGACCCAGAGGGAGTTCCACCGAAGACCCCAGTGGCGGTGTTCGCATCCGTCCGCCCCACCCATTCCGGCACACCCCTCACCTGCCGTGGCCCCACAGGGAACATCACCTGAGACCCCAGTGTCTGCGTTCGCATGCGCTCATCGCGGCCATTTTGGTACAATCCTCACCCGTCTCGTGGCCCCATAGGTAGTTCCGCCGAAGACGATACTTACAACTGCGTTGCTCACAGCTGCAGATGGATAGGTCCTTCGCCAGGCTAATTGTTGACTCGTGATCGTGGCTTCGGGAGCACGGCTGCATGGTTTTTTAAGAGGGGTCGTGGCCTCGGGAGGGGGGGCGGTGCATGCAGGGAAATGCTCAGGGGAGGGTCCCTTATGAGAGTACAGAAGCCCTACCACACATCCACGCCGCAGCGTGCACAAGGCACGGTGGCGGATTTGGAACAAATACGCTCACCATCCCTTGCGGCAGGTTCGCTCCGCGTTGACGCGGTGAAGATTCCAGTGTGGGCGTTCAATGTCGTGGACTGGAGCCGCATGGCGTCGAACGATCTGCTATCGGAAAGCCGCGCCACGATCCACGTGCTGTCAGAAACCAGCGCGCAGGTCATCACAACGTGAACTTGCCGTGTGGCCGCACGTGCTCCTCTCGCTGGCTTGATAGCATGTGCAACTCGTTTAGGAGCGTGGCCTTGAGGTAAAAAACGAGTTGCTTCCTCATCGTTCCCCTTCAAGACGGGACTGGAGAGGCAAAACGTCAGCAACAGCGGCCCAGCAGGCCGGTTCTGCCAGAAGTGCGGGGAACCGGCTGTCTGGGCGATGGTGTCGACAGCGGCTTCGAGAACGCTGCAAGAGAGGCCAAGAGCTCCAGCGTTGAGCGCGGTGCAGAAAGTGCGTAGTAGGAATAGGAGGAGCAGGAGGGTGAGGAGAAGGAGGAGGAGCAGGAGGAGGAGGAGGAGAAGGAGGAGGAGAAGATGCCAGAAGAGGAGGGGGAGGAGGAGGAGGAGGAGGAGGAGGAGGAGGAGAAGGAGGAGGAGGAGGAGGAGGAGGAGGAAGGCGAGCAGACAGGCCAGAAGCAGCCTCTTGGATGCCTTTCAGAGTCTCTTCGGCTTTCTTCCGAGAGCTGCTTGGAGTCCTCTTGGGGCATGTTGGGCGTTTCTTGGCAGTCCTTGGGGCCTCTTGGAGCGTCTTGAGTGCCTCTGGGCGGCCTCTTGGGATCTGTTGGGGGTATCTTGGGGGCCTCTTGGGGCCCCTTGGGGCTTCTGGGAGTGCAGGAGGATGAGGAGGAGGAGGAGGAGGAGGAGGAGGAGGAGGAGGTGGAGGAAGAGGAGGAGGAGGAGGAGGAGGAGGAGGGGGAGGAGCCGCAGCAGATGGAGGCAGTGCAGGAAATGGAGACGGATGACCAGATTCATGTAAGAGGAGGTGCCCACTTGTCATAATCACGCGCTTGTGCTGCCCAGGCTCTGTGCTATCACCGCGCAAGACCTTCATGCCAAGTCCAGCTCCTCGCCTTTGACGTCCTCGGCCAGCCAGCCCGGATGGCACATCGAAAGCCCTAGTGCGTGTTTGGATAATCGCCGGGGGCGCAAAGATGTAGGACCGCGCTTCGCGAAATGGGCCGGGGAGCTGCGCTTCTCCAGGGTGGTGGCGCGAGAGCGCGAAGATGACCGCGCGGAACCGCGTCCATCGTGGCTACGGCTGGATTCGCCTCGAAGTCCGTGTCAAAAGCGCACCCTGGCAGAGGTGCAGCGAGCAGCTGTAGTTATCGGTAACGTTGTGTTTTTCTGGGGGGTCAAATGAAGCATCGGCGCTGGTATATCCATGGCCGAAAACTGGCCGCATCATCTTATTTAAGTAAACACATCTTGCCGAATCCCCACTCATCGGGCTTAATATTGGGCTGAATAAATTTTGGCAGATCCGGCCTTCCCGCTGCCCACAGCGGCCCAGAGGCTTCCCAAGGTGCCCCAAGGCGACCGAAGAGGCCGCGAAAGCAGCCCCTCCCAAAAGCTTCAACACGGCCTGAAAGAGCTCCCAGGCGGCGTCAGAGGGCCCCAGGAAGGCGTTCAATATGGCCCACCTGTGTTCGTAGAGCCCCAATTTTGGTCCAAGAACGCCCCAAGACAGCCCGAGATGGCATCTAGGAGGCCACGAGGCCTCCTCCCAAAGCGGCCCAAGAGAGGCCCGAGAGCTCCCGTCCAGGGAGCCTGCAGAGGAATCTGTTGTGGATTGTCAAGAGGCTTTTGTTCCCAACCATCCTGTGGAGTTGAGAATCCTCTTTTTGAAGCGACAGCCCCCGCGTCTGTTCTCCTCCTCCTCGCCTCTCCTCCCCCCTCCTCCCCCTCCTTCCCTCTGCTCACCGCATTAGTCTACGATTTCGGCACACACCTCACGCGTTTCGTTGCCCCATAGGGAGCTACACCGAAGGCCCCAATGCTGTTTGCATGCGTACCCGCCGCCCATGTCGGCACACCCCTCACACGTTACGTGGCCCCCATGGGGACCTCCACCTAAGTCCCCAGGGGTGCCGTTCGCATGCGTCCCCGCCTCCCACTTCGGCACACCCCTCACTCGTTTCGTGGCCCCATAGGGAGCCCGACGTAAGGCCCCAGTGGTGCCTTTCGCACGCGCCCCCACCACCCAGCATGGTTTTAAAGTCCCGTGGTTGGGGGTCATTTTACGGTCCCGGTCCCGTGGGGATAATTTTAAGTTTCAAGGTCCCGTGGGGGCCTTTTTTTAAGGTCCCGTGGGGGTAATATGAAAGTCCTGAGGGGTCCCTTAGGGCCCTGCTCGGGCCCTCAAACAGAGGTTACGCGACTGGCACGAAACAGGTGTCGCTAGCACCCCATAACGCATACAGGTGGGTTCCTCTTGCCGGGCCAACCAAACAAACCTGTCATACACAGCGTTTGCGCTTCCTGTCAAGCGCTTCCTCCGAAGAGGCAGGCATGATGACAAGATCAAGCCAACTTGAGCCAAGAGGGGCTACTGACGAAGAGAAATGAGAATGACGGGCGAAAACGAGCGGGGCAAAACAAGAGAGAGGGACAGAGAAATGACAGAGGGAGGAGGAGGAGGAGGATGGGGGGGCGAAGAGAAGCGCGACGAGGAGTAGGAGTAGGACGGCATACAAGGGGCGAGGGAAGAGAAGGGGAGATGAGGAAGAGGAGGAGGATGACGATGAGGAGGAGGAGGAGGAGGAGGAGGAGGAGGAGGAGGAGGAGCAAAAGGAGGAGGAAGAGGAGAGGGGAGGAGAAGCGTGACGAGGAGTGGGAGGAGGGGGGCATGCAGCGGGCGAAGGAAGAGAATGAACGAATAGAAGGATAGTAAAAAGAGGTGGGCTTATCAGGCAACGTTCAATAAGAAACCCAGAGTCTCGCCACCAATAGGCGGCCTGGCTCTGCAAACGTAGAGGAGGATGAAGATCATAGGCCCTGGGGGGTCGCGGGGGGGGGGGCAAGCATATATATATATATATATATATATGTATATATACATACATACTTAGACACATCCATATGTATAGGCATACGAGTACAATGTACATGTGAGGGCGAAGTGATGATGCCATAACGTGTGACAACCTCGGAAAACATCGGATCTGGATTTGCTTGGGCACTGGTGGGGCTACAGATATCCATAACCGCTGCCTGCTGGGATACTGGGAAGCCAGCTGCCAAAGTGATAGTGGTCGGCAGTGTTGAATGCCAGCTTGTGATGAAGGAGTTCCCTTAGAGAGGTTTCCGCAGCCTTTGTGAATCAAGGATCGCATCAAACAGGCACAGTCAAAACATACGCGTACACATCTTTTCTTACCCATACATATTAGCGCAGTTTCGTTTGTGAACGATGCGCCCTCTCTTGGTCGCAAGCTTGGTCGGGGCCCTCGGCGTCAGTGGCTTGGTCCCTCCAGACGACCTCAGACTGTTTCAGACGTGGAGCTCCGGCCAGCCACCGCAGTTGCTATCAAGAGATGATCGACTGTCGACACAGAAACCCGAGGCGTCCAAGATGACTGCTACGACACAGTCCAGGGATTCATCGGGGAGGGAGTTCTTCACGTATGGTTCTGTGCCCATCTACGCCGCTTCACCCATGAGTGGCGCCGCCGCCGCCGCTGGCGGAATCGCGGTGGCGCGCCCGTGGATCATCATGTTGGAAAGCGACGCCTTAGAGGAGGAGTCCGTGTCACTGAGCAAGGAGTTGCCGAATGGCCTTGCGACGCACGCGAGCATGGGCGAGGTGCCCATGGTGATGGGTAGCTTGGATGTCGGTAGTCTTCACTCGTTCATCAACAGACACCCAGGGCGTCTGAAGTTTGTCGTAGAGGATCGGTGGCAGCAAAGGGTGGACGCGCCGGCCGCGCCGGTCATCGAAGAGGTTTCGAATTCAGAGCGGCGGACCTACCCATGGGGCATCCAGTACCTCAATGCGGACGTGGTCCGTGGGAAAGGCGCGGGAGTGAGCGTGTACGTGCTGGACACTGGCGTTCGCATCACTCATAACGAGTTCGGCGGCCGCGCCTTCGCCGGAGTGGACGTGGCCGCCTCGGGGACGTACCCAGGCACTCTCACAGTGTGCTCGCCGTCCAGCACGACGTGCGCTGCCGACCAGCATGGGCACGGCAGCCACTGCGCGGGAACAGTCGGGGCCTCGACATACGGCGTCGCGGACGGCGCTTCTATCTACGCCATGAAGGTCCTTAATGACGCAGGCTCGGGCTGGACCACATGGTCCATTCTAGCCGAGCAGTGGATTTTGTCGTCTGGGAACAGGCCAGCGGTGGTCAGCATCAGTATCCAGGCCAACTACAATGACCTCGCAGAGGAAACCTCCATTGACAACCTGGTGGCCGATGGCGTGACCGTGGTGGTGGCTGCAGGGAACGCCAACGCAGACGCGTGCACCTACAATCCAGCTTGGATTTCGTCAGCGATCACCGTAGCTGCTTTTGGTGGGGCTTCAGGGAGCTCATGGGACAGGTCTTCGTACAGCAACTGGGGCTCTTGCATTGATGTGTATGCTCCGGGCACGAACATCCTCTCGCTGGGTCCATTCAGCAACACCCAGACCTATTTCAACACGGGCACATCAATGGCCTGCCCACACGTCGCCGGGCTCGTGGCCAGGATGTACGAGGCGTATCCTACGGCGGGGTCCATGACCGCCGCGCAGAGGTGGGATCTCCTGACGGCCACGAACTGCACTGGCTGTGTCACAAATGACGCGACTCCCACACCCACTGTCAACCTGGTGGCCTTGGCCACTTCCTCTACTCCCGCGCCTATGATCTCGCCCACTCCCCCGCCTACGCCATCGCCTACACCACTGCCCACGCCCTTGCCCACGCTCTCGTCTTTGACGCCCTTGCCCACGCCAGTACCTACGCCCTCGCCTACGCCAATGCCCACCCTCTCGCCCACGCCTTCGCCTACGCCGTCGCCTACAGCCTCGCCCACGCCTTCGCCTACGCCATCACCAACTCCGTCGCCTACGTCCTCGCCAACGCCCTCGCCTACGCTTGTGCCCACGCCCTACCCCACGGCGTCGCCCACTCCCTCGCCTACCACCTCGCCCACGCCGGCACCTACGCCCTCGCCTACGCCCTTGCCCACGCCCTCGCCGACACCCTCGCCCACGCCTTTGCCTACGCCTTCGCCCACGCCCTCGCCCACGCCTTCGCCTACGCCGTCGCCTACAGCCTCGCCCACGCCTTCGCCTACGCCATCACCAACTCCGTCGCCTACGTCCTCGCCAACGCCCTCGCCTACGCTTGTGCCCACGCCCTACCCCACGGCGTCGCCCACTCCCTCGCCTACGACCTCGCCCACGCCGGCACCTACGCCCTCGCCTACGCCCTTGCCTACGCCAGTACCTACGCCCTCGCCTACGCCAATGCCCACCCCCTCGCCCACGCCTTCGCCTACGCCGTCGCCTACAGCCTCGCCCACGCCTTCGCCTACGCCATCACCAACTCCGTCGCCTACGTCCTCGCCAACGCCCTCGCCTACGCTTGTGCCCACGCCCTACCCCACGGCGTCGCCCACTCCCTCGCCTACGACCTCGCCCACGACGGCACCTACGCCCTCGCCTACGCCCTTGCCCACGCCCTCGCCGACACCCTCGCCCACGCCTTTGCCTACGCCCTCGCCCACGCCTTTGACGCCTTCGCCTACGCCCTTGCCCACGCCCTCGCCTACGCTTTGGCCCACGCCCTTGCCCACGCCTTCGCCTACGCCGTCGCCTACGACCTCGCCAACGCCCTCGCCTTCGCCATCACCAACTCCCTCGCCTACGTCCTCGCCGACGCTTTTGCCCACGCCCTTGCCTACGCCCTACCCCACGGCGTCGCCCACTCCCTCGCCTACGACCTCGCCCACGCCGGCACCTACGCCCTCGCCTACGCCCTTGCCCACGCCCTCGCCGACACCCTCGCCCACGCCCTTGCCTACGCCCTCGCCCACGCCTTCGCCCACGCCTTCGCCAACGCCATCGCCTTCGTTATCACCTACTCCGAATCCCACGTCATATCCCACGCCCTTCCCCACGCCCTATCCTACACCTTCGCCTACTCCGTCGCCTTCGCCGGCACCTACGCCCTCGCCTACGCCGTATCCCACGTCATATCCCACGCCCTTCCCCACGCTATATCCCACGCCCTATCCCACGCCCTACCCCACGCCCTACCCCACGCCCTCGCCTACGCCCTATCCCACGCCCTATCCCACGCCTTACCCCACGCCGTATCCCACGCCCTATCCCACGCCCTATCCCACGCCTTATCCCTCGCCGTCTCCCACGCCTTATCCCACGCCCTATCCTACGGCCAATTCGTGCAGCAAGTACTCCTCCTGCAAGCCTTGCCAATATGCGGCGGGGTGCTACTGGTGCAGGTCAAATTCGTGGTTCTCTGTGTACTCTGGCCAGTGCCTTTCCACCGGGACGATCGCCTCCTGCTTGTGGATGTCCCCAACTTGCCGTTGGAGGTGGTGGTACTATTTCACTTGGAGGTTCCGCCTCCGGGTCAGGAGAGCATACTCATCGGCGTTCATCGGAGACAGCTTCGTGCGAGGAGCCTTCGAACGCTCCGGCCACTCTCGGGTGTCTGCCCTCCCGTCCAGTGCTGTCTTGTCCGTCCAGCTCTCTATTCCAAGTCTCCGCATGGTTGCCTCGGACACAGATGAGATGGATGAGATTGAGGTTGAGTATTCCGTAGCAGTACCTGGCGACGATTCGGACGGTGTCGAACAGCAGCAGGTCGACTCGCTTTCGGCAGACTTGGCGCAGGTCTCAGCGGAGGAGTACACGCAGGACTTCGTATCGGAGATGAGCGGTGTGGCCGGCGCGGCGGCTTTCGGTGTGGAGGCGGTGGTCAATTCTGCTACAGCCCCTACGGTGACCACGGTAACAGATCCTCCGACGCCGAGTCCGACGCCGAGTCCGACTCCGAGCGGGGCTTCTGCGAAGGGAGATCCTCATTTGGTCAACGTCTATGGCCAGCGGTTCGATCTGATGCAGCCCGGTCTGCACTCATTGGTTCATATTCCGAGGCTTGCCGACGCCGTTAGCACCCTTCTGGACATTCGAGCCGACGTCCAGAGGCTTGGGGCCACCTGCGCAGACATGTACGTCCAGTCCATCAACGTGACAGGTGCGTGGGCCTCTGTGCCTGAGCATCCAACGGGCATATTCTTCTCGGCTGAGAAGTCGTCACAACATCCCGGTTGGCAGAAGCTCGGCCAGGTCAAATTGAAGGTGATCCAAGGCCACACGGAGAGCGGCATCGCATATCTCAATTTCCTCATCCGCAGCCTGTCGAAGGTTGAGTATTCGATCGGTGGTCTCCTTGGAGAGGATGACCACACCGAGGCGTCCAGAGTCGACCTCAACTGCCACACAAGCGTAAACCTCTGAGGCGGGCCACTAGACGAGCGCTGCAGACTGGCGTTCCAGCCAGCCTCCACCGCTTGCTGCGCAGGACTTCCATCCTGTGTGCCGAAGCCCGTCTTTCCGAGCACACGAGGTCCACCGTTGACCATGACGCTTCGCGTACGTCCACCCACCAGCCCATCCAGATAGCAGCAGGCGACTTCGTCAGGACCGTTGTGCGAAGGGGGGGGCAGCGTTCCATCACCGTCGTTTCTTCCTTTCGAAGCTGATGGGGATCCCGAGGGGCGCCGTGAAGGCCTTTATGGCCTGCTCTTGACTGACTGCCTCGTGACAGCGGAGAGGCACGAACACTTTAGGAGTCGACCATGAAGGCCTTTGCGAAAATGTCAGCGAAACATCGAGAGGGAGCCTTTTGGAGCATCGTGGGCATTTTTGGGGCGCTCTTGGGGCAATTTTGGGAGCCATCTTGGGGCTCCCTCGCGCCCGTCTTGGAGGCCTTCGTGGACCTCCAGTGCCGATATGGGGATCGTCGATCAAAAGGAAAGGTCGTGAACTAGCGTCCCACGGTGGGGCGTTCTTGAGGTGACATTGGAGGCCCCTGTGTGGGGTCCTGGGCCTCTCTCGGGGTTATCTTGGGACATCCTGTGGCTATCCAGCCGCCAGCGGCATACCCCGCCACCGTGCCTGTGCAACAGCGCAGCAGGAATGAGAGGCAGAATGTAGGAACAGCGCAATTCGGACGAGCGGTCAGAACTAATACGGCTCGTGAGCTCGACGTGGTCCTTGTTCGCGTGGTCGGGGGAAGGCCGAGTTCACGCCCAGCTGCAGTTTAGCGTGCGGTCTGAACTGACTGAAGTGGGTCGGGATCTCGACCTCATTTTTGTTCCGTGCGGTGGGGAGAAGGATGATGCTGATGCTGATGATGATGCTGATGATGATGATGATGAGGAGGAGGAGGAGGAGGAGAAGGAGGGGCAGAAGGGGCGGCAGACTGTATGTAGGCCTAGGCGTTCGTATGTAGCGTTTTCCAGCTCTGCGTCGGAGAGCGCCTCATTGATTCAGTTCGTCCTCTGGAGTGCGCTCGCATGTGCGATCTCATCGAACGGCGTGTCGATCTTATGAGGTCAGGAGTACCTCGCTATTTCCAACGAGATATCAACACATGCCTACCTCTACACACCACTATATCGTATCACACGTTTCCACGTATACTGCACATTATATTTCTTGGAAGCCGCTTGTATTCAGACAATATTTAAACATGGCATCAGCCATAGTGACTTCTACTTACATTCTGGAAACCGTGTGTCGTATGACCTGCTATGTCATATGATTAGCCTCACGCATTTCTGATGCCAGTTTGCAGACTTCATAGAACTAGCACGGCTTTCTCGCTCTGGAGTGCGCCCACTATTAGTTCAGACGCGTGCTAGGGAGAATGATGATGAGTTCAGACGCGTGCTAGGGTGGATGAGGATGAGGATGAGGATGAGGATGAGGATGATGATGATGATGATGATGATGATGATGATGATGATGATGATGATGCTGATGCTGATGATGATGATGATGATGATGATGATGATGATGATGATGATGATGATGATGATGATGATGATGATGATGATGATGATGATGATGATGATGATGCTGATGATGATGATGATGATGCTGAGGAGGAGGAGGGGGAGGAGGATAATTGCGGGAGGAGGATAAGGGGGAGGAGGAGGAGGATGAGAAAGAGGAGGCGGATGTGGGGAGGACGATGGATGAGCAGGATGAGGAGGGCGAGGAGGATGAGGAGGCTGAGGACCAACAAAAGGATTAGGATGGTGCGGATTGTGGTGATGCGGATTACGATGCTGATGATGCTGATGATGATGCTGATGCTGCTGCTGATGCTGATGATGGTAAGGAGGACGAGGAGGAAGATGAGGAGGGGGAGGAGGAGGGGGGAGGGACGATGATGATAGTGATGTTGCTGATGATGACGATGCGGATGGTTATCATGCTGATGATGATGCTGATGATGCTGCTGCTGATAATGATGATGCTGATGCTGAAACTGATGCTGATGGTGCTGACGATGATGATGCCGACGATGATGAGGAATATTGTGTTGATGCTGATTATGACGGTGACCGTGACGATGACGACGATGATAAGGATGATGCTGGTGATGATGTTGATGATGAGGATGACGATGAGGCTGATGACTATGATGGGGATGATGATGGTGAGGATGATGTCGATGATGCTGATGACGATGGTGTCGTTGACGATGACGATTACGATGGCGATGAAGATGATGCTGATGATGACGATGACGATGACGACGATGATGATGCTGATGATGGTGCTGATGCTGATGATCATGCTGATGGTGGTGATGCTGATGATGCTGATGATGCTGATGATGCTGATGATGAGGATGCGGAGGTGCTGATGATGATGCTGATGCTTCTGATGATGACGATAATGATGATGACGATGATGATGCTGGTGGTGATGATGATGCTGATGACGATGATGCTGATGATCATGATGCTAATGCTGATGCTGATGATGATGATGCTGATGATCATGAGGATGACGATGATGAGGCTGATGGTGACGATGATGAGGATGATGATGCTGATGATGATGCTGATACTGATGATCATGAGGATGACGATGACGCTGATGGTGACGATGATGAGGATGAGGATGATGATGCGGATGATGATGATGATGATGATGATGATGATGATGCTGATGCTGATGCTGATGCTGATGATGATGATGATGATGAGGATGAGGATGAGGATGAGGATGAGGATGATGATGATGATGATGCTGATGATGATGATGATGATGATGATGAGGATGATGATGCTGCTGATTATGATGATGATGGTGATGATGGTGTCGAGGATGACGATGATCATGCTGATGATGATGATGATGCTGATAAGCAGGATGATGACCAGGAGTAGGATGAGGATGTAGAACGCAGCCTGAGCAGGAGCCCGTCGCGCAGTGGGCTAACGGCCGCTCGAAAGCAGGCATTTGCCGATTAGCGTTTGCCCCGCTCTCGCTCAGCCCGGACACCAAAGCGCCCATCCGAACGGAATCTTGGCGGCGAAGGGGCACACTCGCATTGCATTGGCGAGCTTAGGATAAATATCACTCTCAGAAAGAAGCACGAATAAGTTGCTCATCTAGCTGCAACCAATGGACC